CTACCAATAGTGGTGTCCCACAGGGTTCTGTTCTTTCACCTCTCTTCCTTCTTTTTATCAATGATTTACTTCACACTACGACTATTTCTATCCATTCTTACGCTGATGATTCTACTCTTCACTCTTCTTCACATTTTCCCCCTTCCCCCTAATTATCAAATTAGATCTGTTTCTAGAGCTGATATCATTACATCTATCAATGCGGATCTGTGCAGCATCTTCGAATGGAAAGGAAGGGGTGGAGGGTAGAATCTTGGTTTAATTTAATAGTAATAAAATTCAGTATTTACCAATGGCACTTTCCAAATTAGATGATCTCCCACCAATCACATTTCAGGATGCCAAATTCTAAAATACAGTAGATATGCTAGGCCTCACCATTTCCTCTAATATGTCATGGAAGCCACACATCCTCAACATTGCTAAAGCTGCCTTCCGAAAGCTGGGAATGCTGTACAGATGCCGTTGCTACTTCACTCTTGAGTAGTTGCTTCAAGTATATAAAGGATTAATTCGTCCTAACTTGGAGTACTGTTCTCATATCTGGGGTGGCTCTTCTTCTGTTCTACTGTTAGATAGGGTGGAATCAAAGGCATTTCGTCTTATTAACTCTCCTCTTTTAGTTGATAATCTTTCTTCCCTTTCTCTTCGCTGCAACGTTGCTTCACTGTATCTTTTACAGGTACTTTAACGGGCAATGTTCGGTGGATATGGCATCCTGTGTACCGCCGGCAAGGCCGTGGGCTCGTAACACTCGTCTTGCCCGCGGTGCCCACCGTTTCTCTGTGGATGTCGGTCACTCTAGATTACTAGAATAACCCGTTATAGTACATCCTTCTTTCCTCACACAGCCAAACTATGGAATGCTCTGCCTCCTTTTGTGTTTCCATACTCATACACTCTGTCTCACTTCAAAAAGGTGGTTTTCCGGCATCTTCGTGGTGTAGATTAATATAATCTTGTTCTTTTCTATTTTTAATTTATTGTTGCTCTTATTTTTTCGCCTCTTTGGTCCCGACTGTGTGTGAAATGGCACAGCACTTTATCCCTAATGGCAGGATAGCTGATATATTAAGAGTGTATCCAGTTTTTGCAATTGGTTGCTATATCAGTTCCCATGTATAGAACCAAACACATATCGTGGTTGAATACCTCTCACGTAAATGTGAATAACAAAGTGTGCGGATTAGAAATAGTGTCTCACACTCCTGTACTCACGCAGTTGCGAATAAGTTACCTTCTATGTACAGAACTAAACGAAGAATTTATTTTAAATACTCTGTAACATTCAATGCCATAATATCCTGACCACTGGGGTTAGTTATACAGACCCTTTGTAACTACTCTGTAATCCTTTTGGGCTACCGCCCACAGGATGAGTATGGGGTGCGCAAGAAACTAGTTGCTGTAAGTGACAAAATTAAAAAATAAATAAAAACAGCTGAGAGTGATCAGCAGTTTTTATACATGCGTGGATTTAACTCTACTGTATAGCTATTTGTTGGAAGTCATCCTACACACGTGTAAAATTTACGTTCAAAAATCCTATATTCATGTATACTCATGTATGTATATTCCAGCTGTATACTTGTTAAAACTGATCTTACACGAGTATGAATATCCTATATTGTATACATGTCAAAACTCATCCTACACATGTGTATATTTGTCAAAAATACTGTATGTTTAAACACCACGTATTATTTATATACAATTCATGTAGATCAAGTCACAGTACACCATCTGGGAGAGCCTCACCATCTGCCCCGCCTTGTGCCCAGAAGTGGTGAGTTTGATCTCCATCTGTACCAGCTGTATGAGTCCTCCCAGCTGGTCACTGACGGAGGGCGCCACACGTCGCACTCCTTCCCTGATACAGAGGCGACCCCTCTCACCGATCTGGTGGTAGTGGTGTAAGTAGCAGGAAGTGGTGGTAGTAGTGGTGTTAGCAGGAAGTGTTGGTAGTAGTGGTGTTAGTAGCAGGTAGTGGTGGTAGTAGTGGTGTTAGCAGCAGGAAGTGGTGGTAGTAGTGGTGTTAGTGGCAGGAAGTATTGGTAGTAGTGGTGTTAGCAGCAGGAAGTTGCGGTAGTAGTGGTGTTATTGGCAGGAAGTGTTGGTAGTTATGGTGTTAGTAGCAGGCAGTGGTGGTAGTAGTGATGTTAAGAGCAGGAAGTGTTGGTAGTTATGGTGTTATTAGAATGTTGGTAGTTATGGTGTTAGTAAAATGGTGTTAAGGACATTTGATGAAGGAGCATAAGTTATGAAGTGGTTGTCAACCCAGTGGTGGCGTGACGTCATATACTTGACGTCACTGGCCCTATGTAAAAGTGTCTTACGAGAATTTGTAGAAGCTCCTGTCAGATGCTTCTGGTTACAATGTACAGGGGTACCTAGTGACAGCACTAGCATCCCGTTTTCTATAATATAGATTCTAGAATAAACAGATGAAATTGAAATTGAATTGAGAATATTGAAATGCATCCAGACCGAGGCTCGAACCCTTGACATATTAGTGTGAGATACTCCCGTTACCGCTGTACCACATGGTGTATAAAGACGTGTGTCACAAAACAACACTACTAGAAACAACGTGACCATTAGGCAAAGAATTTACAATATAATGATTAGAAATTATGATGAGGCAAGAGGTGTACACACAGGAAATTAGTGAAGGCGACAGTACCGTAGCTGGCTGAGGATATACCCGCCTTGACCTTTACTTATGACGATCCCCGCCCGTGCCTGCCCACCACACCTTACACCGCCTGCCCACAACACCTGACACCACCTGCCCACAACACCTGATACCACCTGCACACAACACATTACACCACCTGCCCACAACACATTACACCACCTGCCCACAACACATTAACACCTGCCCAACACACCACCACCTGCAACACATTCACCTGCCCCTGACCACACCACCTGCCCCCAACACATTACACCACCTGCCCCCACACCTGCCCACAACATTAACACCACCTGCCCACAACACATTAACACCACCTGCCCACAACACATTACACCACCTGCCCACCACACCTTACCACCTGCCCAACATACCACCTGCCCACCACACCTTACACCACCTGCCCACAACACATTAACACCACCTGCCCACCACATACACCACCTGCCCACCACACCCACACCACCTGCCCACCACACCTACACCACGCACACACCTTACACCACCTTCCCCACTACACACCTGCCCACCACCTTACACCTGCCCACCACAACCTCAAACCACACTTTACACCACCTGCCCACTACATACACCACCTGCCCACCACACCTGACACCACACCTACACCACCTGCCCACTACACCTACCTGCCCCTACACGTGCACCACCTGCCCACCATTAAACCACCTGCCCACTACACCCACCACCTGCCCACCACATACCACCTGCCCACCACCTTACACCACCTGCCCACAACACATTAACACAACCCCCACACATACACCACCTGCCCACCACACCTTCACCACCTGCCCCACCACACACCTGCCCACCACACCTCACACCACCTTCCCTGATACCTACCATCTGCCCACCACATACACCACCTGCCCACCACACCTACACCACCTGCCAACCACACACACCACCTGCCCACTACACCTTGCACCACCTGCCCACCACACCTTACACCACCTGCCCACCACACCACCTGCCCACCACCTGCACCTGCCCTGACACCTGACCCCCTGCCCTGACAACACCCACCACCTGCCCAACACATACCCTACCCCAACACACCTGACACCACCTGCCCACCACACCTTACACCACCGACCCACCACACCTGACACCACCTGCCCACCACACCCACACCACCTGCCCACTCACCCATACACCCGCCTGTTCACCACACCTTACACCACCTGCCCACAACCCTTTCACCACCTGCACCACACCTTACACCACCTGCCCACTACACCCTACACCACCTGCCCACAACACCTTACACCACCTGCCCACCTCTTACACCGCCTACCCACCACATGCCCAACACCCACCACCTGCCCACCACCTTACACCAGCCCACCACCTTACACCACCTGCCCACCACACGCCACCACCTGCCCACCACACATACACCACCTGCCCACTACACCTTACCCACCTGCCCACCACCACCCGCCACCTGCCCACCACACGCTACACCACCGCCACCACCACCCCCCACCTGCCCACCACCTTCACCACCTGCCCACCACACCTTGCACCACACCTTACACACCACCTGCCACTGCCTTACACCACCGGCCCACCACCTTTACACCACCTGCCCACCACACATCACACCACCTGCCCACCACCTTACACCACCTGCCCACACACTTTACACCACCTGCCCACCACACACCTTGCCCACAAGCACCTGCCACTACACCTTACACCACCTGCCCACTACACACCTTACCACCTGCCACCACACCACCCTGCCCACCACACCTTACCACCTGCCTAACCTTGCACCATCTGCCCACCACCTTACGCCACCTGCCACCACACCTTACACCACCTGCCCACCACACACTGTACGCATCCACCTGCCCACCACACATACACCACCTGCCCACCACACCTTACACCACCTACCCACCACACCTTACACCACCTGCCCGACACCTGACACCCCGCCCACAACACCATGCACCACCTGCCCAGCCATTTCCCACCTGCCCCTGGCACCTTACACCACCTGCCCCACCACACATACCACCGACCCACCACACTTACACCACCTGCCCACCACACCTTACACCACCTGCCCACACACCTTACACCGCCTGTCCACCACACATACACCCTGCCCACCACCAGCCTCACCACCTGCCCACCACACATTACACCACCTTGCCTACTACACAGCCTGCCTGCCACACCTTACACCACCTGCCACCCCTTCCAGCCGCCTGCCCACCACACAGCGCACCACCTGCCCCACTACGCCACTGCTGCACCACCACATCTTACCACCTGCCCACCCATACACCACCTGCCCACCACGCATACACCACCTGCCCACCACGCATACACCCGCATATGCCCACCTACACCTTACCCCACCTGCCCACCACACATACACCACCTGCCCACCACACCTTCACCACCTGCCCACCACATACACCACCTGCCCACCACACCTTACACCACCTGCCCACCACCTTACACCACCTGCCCACCACACCTTACTCACCGCCCACCGCACCTTCTCTCCTGCTACACCACCGCCCACCACGCATACCACCTGCCCCCGCATACCACCTGCCCCCACGCACCCACCTGCCCACCACATCTTCCCACACCTGCCCACCACACCTTACCCACCTGCTAACCCACCACGATACCACCTGCCCTACCATACACCATTATGCCACCACCGCCCACCACCTGCCCACCCCTCGCCCAGCCACATCACCGCCACCTGCCCACCACACAGCCCACCTGCCACCACAGCGCCTGCCAGCCACACTTCACCACCTGCCCACCCTACACCCACCACCTGCCCACCACACAGCCACCACCTGCTCACCACCTACACGCCACCTGCCCACTACACCTTACACCACCTGCCCACCACGCAGCCACCACCTACCCACCACACAGCCCACACCACCTGCTTACACCACCTTACACGACCACCCACCACCACCTTACACCTGCCCACCACACCTTACACACCTGCCCACACGCATACACTCTGTTCACCACCTTTCCGCCTGCCCACCACGCAGCCACCACCACCACACCTTACCCCCCACCTGCCTGCCACCTTACACCACCTGCCCACCACACCTTACACCACCTGCCCACCACACCTTGCCACCTGCCCACCACACCTTACACCACCTGCCCACCACGCATGCACCACCTGCCCACCACCAACCACACAGCCTGCCCACCACACTGCACCACCTGCCCACCACATACACCACCTGCCCACCACACTACACCACCTGCCCACACCTTACACCACCTGCCCACAACACCTAACACCACCTGCCCACCACACCTTACACCACTGCCCACTACACCTACACACCACCTGCCCACCCCCACACCATTGCCCTGACACCTTACACCACCTGCCCACCACACACTCACACCATGCCCTCACCACCTTTACACCACCTGCCCACCACACCTAACACCAGTGCCCACACTCCACCTGCCCACCACACATACACCACCTGCCCCACAACACCTACACCACCACTCCTGCCCACCTACACCTGCCCACCACACCTTACACCACCTGCCCACCACATCTTACCCACCTGCCCGCACACCACCTGCCCACTTCACACCAAACCACCTGCCCAACACACAACCAGACCACCACCTTACACCTGCCCACCACACCTGCGCCACACCTGCCCACCACACCTTACACCACCTGCCCACCACATCCACACCACCTGCCCACACACCATACCCACCTGCCCACCACACCTACACCACCTGCCCACCACACCTACACCACCTGCCCACCACACCTACACCACCTGCCCACCCCACACCTTACACCACCTGCCCACCACACCCACCCCACCTGCCCACCACACCTACACCACCTGCCCACCACACCTAAACCACCTGTCCACAACACCTTACACCACCTGCCGACCACCTTCTACACCACCTGCCCACACACCCACACCACCTGCCCACCACACCTACACCCCTGCCCTCACACCTATACCACCTGCCCACAAACCTTGTACACCTGCCCACAACACCTGACACCACCCACCACACACCCACACCACCCACCCACCACACCTGACACCACCTGCCCACCACACCTTACACCACCTGCCCACCACACCCACACCACCTGCCCACTACACCTTATACTGCCTGTCCACCACACCTACACCATCTGCCCACA